AAATCTAGGGTTTCTTTCTCACCCAGCATCACTGCCACTGACAACCTGGTTAAAGAAAACCCTAGAGGTTAGAGGAAGCTCTAGTTTCCTAATTTGCCTTTGACCTAGCTGTTTGGCTCATCTGTCCTCATCCAAAAATCATTTTCCTACCATATTGTCCAATTCTTTTCTCAACAGCGCAAAGGAGAACTGCTCTCTAAAGCAGCTCCATCCCTTTGTCTTTGAGCTCTTTAAAATACCAAGTATCCTGTCATGTGGTAAATGATAACTGAAGAGCAGGCTCCAGGCAGAGTGTTTGGTACATAGTAGGTACTCAATACTTACCAGCTGTTGATTTGGAGAAATGGTTTGCACAAAGCTACTTCCTACTAAAAAAGTGAGACTCTTGGGTTTATTCTCTAGTAAGGCGTGTGACCATAGCTGGTCATTTAGCCTCCCCGTGCCTCCATTTCTTCTTCTAAAGATTGCATTGGGCCAAACGTGGTAGCTCTTGCCTGTAATCCCAACACTTTGGGAGGCCGAGGCAGGCGGATCACCTAAGGTCAGGAGTTCGAGACCAGCCTGCCAACATGGTGAAACCCTATCTCTACTAAAAATACAAAAATTAGCCACATGTGGTGGCACGCGCCTGTAATCCCAGCTACTAGGGAGGCCGAGGCAGAAGAATCACTTGAACCCAGGACGCAGAGGTTGCAGTGAGCCAAGACCGTGTCACTGCACTCCAGCCTGGGCAACAGAGTAAGACTCCATCTCAAAAAAAAATAAAATAAAATAAAATAAAGAAATAAAGATTGCATTGATGTTTCTCCCCTGGCTGTGTTCTCACATTGCATGAAACAACAGTGTCTTCTAGTGGAGAAAAAGGTTAGTTGTTTTGTGGGTTGTGCCATGATTTTCAGCTTGAAAGATTCATAAACCATGCTCATAAATGAGCCACTCATGAAAGGCAGGTGAGGCGGAGCCTACCATTAGGCCTCAGAATAGCCCTAGAGAAATCTGAGTGGGAAATGTGTTTTTACGGGATGCTGCACCACCAATCACAAATGCGCATCAGCGCACATCACTATCAACTCTCCTTTACAAATCTTTCACAATCGCATCAAGAAAATCTGAAAACTTTCTTCAAGATACAGGAAGGACTTGATTTATATAGCAGATGGCATGTGGGCTTTGGAACATAAGAGACCTGTGCTGAAATTCCAGGCCTATCACTAAATGTTCTCACAAAAGTTATCTTTATTCTGCGTTTTCCTCAATTATGAAATAAGTTTAGTAATGCCTCCCTCCTAGGTTTATGAATATTAAATGTTGCCTAGCTCATGGCAAGGGGTTTGGGGGTCAGCATAAACACTGTTAGTTTTGTTTTTATCAATATCTCCTTTTCATCTGTGCAAAGCCAAAATCAAAGGAAAAAGTGTCACCCAGGGGTCTAAGGCATTAGGGCCACACCACCACAGTGGTGTTTTCAGGTGAAGCAAAGACGTGCATGCTTGTGTGTGGAAGAGAAGACTGCTTTCCATGGGCCAGCTCCAACCAAGGCCTGAACCAGCCTTTCTCTCCCACACAACTAGTGGTGATGCAGCAAAGGTCATGATTTGTCGGGATGGGAGAGACGTAGGGGAGTTATGGAACCAGAAAGAACGTTATTTGCAGTGGTTCAAGCAGGAGACTTGAGCCCCATAGCAATGGAATTGGAGGAGAGCAAACTGCTCAGAGAGTTCCTTGGGAGGCGACAATCATAGGGTCCTGGTAATTACTTGAATCTCAAGTGTCTCAGAACAGACACTGAGTCACCTTTGATGACCCACAGGTTTGGGGCTAGGGTAACTGGGCAGGTGAGAACCTGACAGAGACAGTAAACCCAGGAAGAGGAGCTGACTTGAGTGGAAAGACCCTGAGTTCCCTTTTGGACATGTTGACATAGGTGCCTAAGGGCTTCTAGGTGGTGGTGTCTACCAGGGATGTGTACACATTTGGGATTCAAGAGATAGCAATGGCCAATAGTCACTGCAGAAAATGAGATGGGCAGTGCAGGGGACGAGCCTTGCATGGACAGAGGAAACAACCACCATTTCCATTCTACAAAATAGCTTTCTTATCTGGAGAGGATTCTACCAAAACATTCCTGAGAACAGTGGGTAGAGTCTTGAACTCAGGGGTCTTAAAGATCATCTAATCCAAACTTCATTTTTTAGATGAAGAAACTGGGGGCCAAGATGCCCCACAGGCCTTCTCCGGGGTCCCAGAGCCAGCACGGCCAGGACCAGCCCCAGGTCTCCCATGCACCCCTTTCTCCACACGGAGGGTCTCCATCTGTACGTCCTCCTTCCAGTTCTCCCTGCCATTGGCTGGGATGGGCTAGGGTAAGGAAGGGTGAAAGAATGGCCAGAAGGGAAAGGAGGAACAGGAACAGGCACAGCAGAGGTGGTGGGGCGAGGAGGAGAGGGCAAGGCTCAGCCAGGTCTATGCACATGGCTCCCACACACTAGTGAAGACCAAGGAGGATCCTTCCCAGAAGCTGCCCCCTCCTACTTGACCATCCTCACGATGCTGAGAGCAGCACTGTTCTCCAACAAAGGGCTTAAGCCAGTGCCCCTCCAACCTAGTTTGCTAGCATTCCCCTAACGCAATTACCATTAGCACAATTGATCAAAGTATCACAGGTCTGTGACATATTTTTATAAATGATTAAACAGTCCTCTTAATCAGATGAAAAAAATTCTTAAAAATTGGCTCACATATCTTAGAATACAGCAGGATTCAGCATCGGTAAGATTCCTATTTTTCACTTTCAGAGTCGTTAACGTTGAGAAACCTTGTTCGGATAAGTAAGTTGGCGAGACGGAAAGGAGTTTTGTTACAACAGTGTCACTTTATACTTGAGCTTCTAAGGTAAAGGTCAAAAGTGTTCTGTCGGGAGGGAGCGCATTAGGACAAATACCTGATGCGTGCGGGGCTTAAAACCTGGATGACGAGTTGATAGGAGCAGCAAACCCCCATGGCACATGTAGACCCATGTAACAGACCTGCAGGTTCTGCACATGTAACCCGGAACTTAAAGTAAAATAAATAAATTGTTTTAAAAAAAAGTGTTCTGTCATTGGAAATTACTTTGTATGTTCTATTAGCTGAGAACTTAAGCCCTTCTCAGAGGTTCAAGGCAAAGGATTGGAAACCATTAGGTTTGCAAAAGGATTTTTCACACAGCCTTTTGCTTAGCACCTAAACCAATATTCCAGGTCTTCCTTTTGTTTGGCATCCCCAAGGTTTTTTACACACCAGGCCACACCCCATGGTAAGAGCAGGAAGGATGGAAGAGCTGGCCTTTTGCAAAAGGGAAAAGGGTGATTGCAAAAAAGGAGATGGGAAAGGAAGCCTGTTCCCTAGGCCTGTGAAGAAAAAAAGCGTAATAGATACTGCTCACTGTTTGTAGAACTCCTGGGAAATTCTCCAAAGGGTATACCTCTGAGGCAGGGCAGGACTAGTGAGATGAGTGAGGCATTCATCTGGGGCACAAAATTTAAGGGGACACCAAAACTCAGTAAGCAGGAGAAATAATATTTGAACGCAAAATTTTTTAAATCAAAATTAATGTTTAAAATACCCCATGGTGAACAGAATGTCAATTTTTAAAATAAAGACAAGAGTGGAGGACAGGTGTACCCAATTTGAAGTACGCAGGTCTCAGAGGCCCAGATGTAAGCTCATGAAAGGCAGATGACAGGTGGGTGATGATTCTCTGGCCCATACTGCCACCTACTGCTGGAAGTGGAAAATGCTGGCCGCCCTCCTGAAGAGTATCACAGCCGCTACCCATCTGCCAGGTCCCACACACACATAGAGGCATGGGTGCCCTCTTGTGAGCAGCCACCCAGTTCAGGAACTTTGAAAAATCCCTATTCACCTATGTCCCACTAGAAAGCTGAGTGGAGATGAAAAGAATCTGAGGCTCAGAGTTACAAGGTGTAGATTTCAGTCTAAGCTTTGCCTCTCGCTTGCTGGACGGTCTAAAACATATGCCAATGGATCTCATCACCGCCTCCAGTAATTGTTGAATTTCAAGAGGTGCTTTCTGTGACAATGAGGAACAGACTGCCTGGCATGAAGTATGTGCATAGTTTTCTGTAAGCTGCCTCCTCCAACCACCCCATCTCCATCGATCAAATCAAACTATCATGCACTTAATATACTGAAGGCAAGACACACTAGAAGACAACCAGAGAGAAAAGGGTGTTGCAGAAGCCCAGACAGTGGAGCACTGGCCGTGGCTGAAGGATAAGGAAGACTCCCCCAGGAAGTGTCACTAGAGCTGGGCCCACGATGGCTAGGTGGGCCAGATCATGCCAAGAGCTGGCCAGCAGCCTCTGGGGACACTCGGCTACTTCTCTGATATTTTATTTCAGGGACGTTTCAGTCACATGAAGCAAGCACTGCAGTCGTGGTGGAAAAGCCAAGGCCTTTGGAAAACAGCCCTGGGTTAAATCCCAGCTCTGCTACATACTAGCGTCAGGACCAGTGGAAGTAACGGAGCCTCCCTGCGCTTCGACTTAACTTACCTATTTTAAACGGTAGTAATAGCACAACTTGTCCTGGGTGGATCAGGTGAAATAAGACAACATATTTAAAGTGCCTGTGTGTGGACCCTGAGGAGTTTCCGTGAAGAGCGGGAAGGAATGGCACGCCCGAGTCGGGCAGTGCTGGCCGTGGTATTTGGCTCCCGTGATGTGCCGAGGAAGAAGGGGAATGCCCGTCTCCCCTGTGGGCAGGCCCTGGTCCCGACTCCCCGCCAGAGAGGAGCGTTTTGATCTCCCCATTCTTTCCCTCCTTCCTCTCCTGGGTCCTCCGCTCATTCCCACCCTCCTGTGTCAGGAGGAGCGTGCGCTCAGCTCGCCCTCTTTCACCGCCTCCCCTCTCGCCTCCTTCATCTCGGAGGGGGCTTTCGGGCCGGCTCCTGGGGCCTCCTCCCTGCCCAGTGGACCCAGCACAGACTGCAGCGTCTCTCCTCTCCGCTAAGCTGCACCCACTTTATTTGCAAAAAGAGCCTCCAAGCGCACGGAGTCACCACCCCGCCTCCCGGCCTCCCGGGCCCCGCCCTCCTCCAGGCCCCCCTGCCCTCACCCCGCGGGCTACACGATCGAGAACTGGCAGATGTAGGAAAGCTGGTCGCGGCAGCCCTTGTCCAACCACTTGCCGTTGGCGGCTCCAGACAGCGCTGCGCAGTTCTCCGTCTTGCCGCCGTCGGGCTGCGCGGTGATCTCGGTCTCCCAGTTCTTGTAGGTGATGCGGGCGCCGGTCATGTCCACCCAGGAGCCCTCGGACGCCATATCGTTGAAGCCTAGCCACACCTCGGCCTCGTTGCCCATGCTCTGGCGCAGGTACTCGTACAGGGCGTCGTTCTCCGAGCCCGTCTGCGGGGTGCCCAGGGTGCCCCCACGCGAGATGCAGTCCTCACTGGCCTCGTGGAAGGTCTTTGCCTGGGTGAAGGCCAGAAAGCATTTCATGTGCACCTTGGTCCCCTTCAGGCAGACTGGGAGCAGGGAGAAATGGCTGTCACAGAAGGTCCCCCTGTTCCCCAGGCAAAGAGCCATCCGCCCAGGCCAGGCCCACCATCCTCCATCCCATTCCCGTTTATCAGTCCTGACAGCCCCTCGACCCAGGCAAAAGGGGTCCTGATGGGGCCTGCATTTTGAGGACCTGGCTGTGGTGGCCGCTGCGGTGCAGACCCAGATCTCCACTCGGGGTGTCTTGGTGCCCCTGACATGACCCGCTGGGAGCAAAGGCAACCCCTGTGCTACAGAAGCACCCAGCCCCAGTTCACACCTTTTTCCAGGCCTCCAGCTCAGTCAGCTCTGGCCTTTACCCATCCCATCTGCTGGGGTCACAGAAGCTGGCCTTGTGCCTGCACTGCAGCTCACTTCTCCCTCTGCTCACTTCCTCTTCCCCCAACTGCAACATGTGTGGCTCCCAGGGCTTCCCTAATAAATTAGCTCTGTCTCAGAGTCAGCTTCACAGGGAGCCCAGCCACAGCCACCTGCTGTGGTTCTCCTTCCTCCACGCCCCTCCCTAAGATGAAGCAGCTTGCAGAGCCAGGGCACCTGCCTACCTAGAGACCACACCACACTCCAGATACCCAGGACCCCAAATCTCTGCCCAAACAGCCCAAGCAAGCTTCCAGGGCCTACCAAGTGCCTTCTGCAGGGTCAGTTCTCCTGAGGGCTGGTAGGGTGGGGCTGGGACGATAGAGCTGAGACTGCAAGAGCCCTCAAACAGACGAGAAGACAGGAAGGGCTGGGCGCAGGCTGTGGTCAGGGGCCGGAGATCAGGCAGGGGACTCTGAGGCACCCACGAATTCTCAGTTTGAGCCTGGCCCCAAAGGTTGTGATGAAGGCACATATTTGGTCAAGTTAGGATGATAGAATGTGTTTTGTTTTGCAGTTTGCATTTTCAGCTTGATTTCTAGCTGAAATATCTAGACATACTCTGATGTGTCTTGAGAGGATATAAATCACCTTTTAATAAGATTTCTGTGGAGCACAGGTGTATTTCTGCATTTGTCCTCTTGCTGCTGACCCCGCCACTTTTGGGGAGGTCTGCACTCCCCTCCACCCAATCCCACTCACTCACAGTTACTTCCATTCCACTCAACAAATATCCATGGAACAGCATCCTCATGTCCCCATGGGCATCTGACACCACACCCAACTTTAAACATGGGGCCTGAAGCATTACAGAGGTGTCCACCCGCAGGCTCTGCCCCAAGCCAGCTGCCCTACCTCGTGCTATCCTGCGGCTTAGCCAGGCGGCCTTCATTGCTTTTCCTTCCTGCTGTGGACACTGACACACATTGCTGGGGCTGAAGGACTCACTGCCCTGGCTGCCGGGAGTGCTGCAGAAAGACAGTCCTCAGCTCTCAGCCTCCTCCAGGGACTGCCTCAGCAGAAGACAGCTACCTCTTCCAAGGCTGTGCCCCTCCCATGAGCAGCCTGCACCCAAGACTGACCCATAAGCCCTCTTGTCCCAACTCAGAACAGTGCTGAAGGGTCATCCCATCATCAGGGCTCCCCGCAGTCAGCTGAGGCTTTCATGGCACCACAGTGTAGCTCCACTTCTCCTTCTGCCCACTCCTGCTTCCTTCCATCCCTTCCCTAGCACAGGGGCTGGTACTGAGAGTGTCCCTTGATAAGCATCTTGTGGGCTACGTTCTATCTCAGAGTTGCTTCCCAGGACCCTTGCCTGAGCCTCCCTCCAACACATAGGTAATCCCCAGTCAACGTTACTAGCATTGCTGCTAACACTTTATTGCTCTGGTCTGGCTATTCACGATCCTGTTGATTTATGCTAGTCCTGCACACCTCTGCTCCTGCCCTGCCATCTGCGTGGAATCGACCTTCTTGATCTTCTCTGACTTCTACACATCTTTCAAGGGCTCAAGTGATTCCATGAATATGTCGAGGTTCCCAGGGAGCAAGGTTCTCACTAGGTCACCTCTGCCTCCTTGTGCCTAGCAGAAATGTAGCACGGTACCTCTCATGCGTGTGCTGGTTGGAGGAGGGAAACGTTGCCCCCTGACTCCAACTCTTTGGTTAGGTCAACAGAGCTCTGGAATGCTTTATTGACAAGGTGATCTTTGGGTTGTGAGGACAGTCCCCAAGGAGTCCAGGAGGCCAGGAGCTTCCTAGAAATCAGCAGACATGGGGGAGGTGCTTTGGGCCTCCATACGTCATGAACTTTTTGCAGGGAGGTCCCCACGTCATCACCTCATCCCAGGTGGCAATTGATGCCTGGGTTACATTGACGTTGCACATCACATAGCTTAGACATGAGACAGACCTTAGGGTTTGCCCTGCCTGTCTTACAGATAAGGAGACTGAGGCTCAGAGTGGCCTTGGTTCATTCTAAACATTCCCTCTGTGGCAGCCACTGTTGCTCCCCCATCCCTTGTCCCTTATCCACCTCCACTGTGGAGCCTGGAAAAGCTACATTCTTGCATCCTCAGATGCTCTTAAAGCGGCAGGTGGCCGTATGACAGAGTTCTGGTTAATGAGATGGAAGTGGAAGACGTTTGTTTACTTTCCCAATAAATGAGACAGATGTGGTTGGGCTACTCTTCCTCCTCCTTGCCTTGAATGCACTCATGATACCTGGAGTTGGGGCAGCCATCTTGAGACCATGAGGTGAAACTTCTGAACAAAAACTTATAACTCCCTACTTGCAGACTAACTTTTTGTTTAAGCCACTGATAGGTTTTCTATCACATGAACTCAAAAACATCTCTGGCCAGACGGCATGACCTTACCATCCTCCTCAGCACTTTCTAGAGCACTCTCCCTTCACCTGCCATGCTAAGCAAGCTGTCCAGAGTCATGTGTTTGTCCTTCCTTCAACAGAGACTGACTGGGTGTTGCTGTGTGGCAGGCACTATGCTGGGCAGGGTCGTGGGAGAGACAAGCACAATGAAAAGCAAACACAGTCCCTGTGTTCTCCGGGCTGACTGCAGTCTAATGGAGGAGGCAGACACAAATCAGCAAATGAGTGTATCATCACAGACTGCAGTCAGTGTGATCAAACAAAGGACACTGTTCTGGGGGAGCTTATACCTGAGGAGCCTGATGGAGAGGGAGGAGGGACTCCTGAGAAGGCAATGCTGGAAGCACTTATTAGGTGGATCATGGGAGAGCAATTCAGGCTGCCCAAATAGCACGTGCAAAGGCCCTGCGGTGGGAGTGCAGAAAGATGGCAGTGTGAATGCTGAAGGAAAGGATGTCAGTGGGAGCGTGTGTGTAATGCTGCCCGGTGAGAAGGCTCTTGGGGGTTTCTGAGGAGGCAGGAGGGAAAAGGAGGGCCTTGCGGATGGATGGGCCTTGGTCACAAAAGCAACAGGTGAGAGAGTGGCTGTGGATGCACAGTAGTTTATAGATCTGCTGAGGAGTCAAGGTGATTCCCAGTTGATAATTTCAGGGGCAGCATAGCAGAGCTAAGTGAGGCTCTTCTCCTTTGGGCTGTCACAAGGTCCTTGCTTCTCGGTGGGAAGTGTGGGTGAGGATGCAGTAACGGGACCACTGCATGGGTTTGCTGTGATTGAGTTAACATGCATCAAGCACTCAAACAGTTCCAGTGTGTAGTGGGCTCGAATGTCAGTAACAACCACTATCATGAGTCTGTGCTCTCCACGGAATGGGAGGTAAGGTCACATAAAGGTAGGTAAATTGGAGGTGTGTGGAAAATACAGACGATATGACGGGAACGTGGGGAGTGAGAAGCAACAGGCTGTCAGGCAGGCTGGCCAGACAGCATGAGCTCACCATGCGCCTCGGTCTATTCTTGGTGATTCTGTGCCTCCTCCCTCAGCTGGCTGGTGCAGAGCCAGGAGCCCCTAGGCCCAGGCAGGCTGCCTCCCATCAACTCTTGCTCTACCACGAGTCAACCAACCAGCCAGGTGAGTGTGAGCCAGGTTCAGCACCTGTCTATGCCTCAGTTGCTGCATCTTTAAAACGGGGCTGACAAATCCCACCTCGACGTAGTTACTGTTAAGAGAGATGGTGTCAGCAGCACACACAGCAGTGTGGAGCTCCCTGGGGCTGCGGAGGCCAGCTGAGTAAGGCTCCTGGGAGCTTTGTTAGGGTGGGCCGCTACCTCTGCCCCATCGAGCACTCCAGTGTCACTTCTAGTGGGAAGTAGTGGATTCTTGTTGAACTTTTCGTCCTCTTGGAACATCCCCACTTCCACACCACCCAGCTGTGGCCAGAGATTTGGCTGTGCACATCTGGGTGGGTTTTGCAGACACGTGTCAGGGGATTTCCCCGAGAGGAAGAGGTGGGGCTCCCTGAACCTGGGGCCCTCACCCCTAGGCCTGGACTAATGGAGCCAGGACCCTGATGCTGGCCAGAGGCAAGAAGTGTGTTGCTGGCTGCTGGTCTGGGCCCTTCTCTCAGGCGCTCCTGCCCAGAGAGGCCACTGTCTGCACTCACCCGTCTGCAGGGCCTGCTGCTCCTTCAGCAGGGCCACCTCCTGGGCCAGGCTGTCCAGACGGCTCTTGATCTCCTCAAACATCTTCGGACTCACAACATCTAGGATGAAGCAGGGGGAAATATGTGAGGGTGGGGTAGGGACTGGGAAGGAAGGATGCCACCTCAGCTGCAGAGGGACAAGAGGAAAAGACTCCCCTCAACCTTGATATCTTGGGAAACTTTCTCTCTATCCCTGCTGGTGGTCGTCTAATTGACCACTAGTAACTTCTGCCAGGAAGGCCAATCCTTCACTTGCTCCTGTGCTGCGTTTGTTTGGGATTGTTGCTAGGGGTCAGATGGAGCTAGGATTAGCAGGGGCTGGGAGGAGGGTGCAGGCATAGGCTTCAGTGACCTCCCCCCCACCGCCAGCTGCCTTCTCAGCTCCAGGGAAGAACACAGCACAGGAAGCAGAGCAGCAGCCCTCGAGAGCCCCCAGGTTGACTTCCCCAGGCTGGAGGAATGCGAAGCAGAGCAGCAGGCAGGCACTCCAGCCTGGGGCACGCATGTGCAGGGCTCAGAAGTCCCACAGACACGGGCGGCCCGGGCGAGCTGCTCAGCCTCTCTGGATTTGATTTCCTCATGTGTGAAGTGGATGATGACAGCCCCACCTCCGAGGACCCTGGAGAAGACTAAGAGAAATGAAGCTCAGAGCTGCCTACCTCAGTGCCTGGCTGGGTATGTGCCCAACATAGTTACTAGTAAGGTGAGGGCAGAAGGAACCCAGGTTTTCCACTCTTATGAAGAAGGTCAGACTCCAGGTAACCCATTCTACATGTTATCCCATGTGATGCTTATAATCAACCCTATGACACGGGTAACATGTCATTCTACACCACCACCATTTCACTACGAGGAAACCCAGGCCACCCTGAAGCAACTGCCAAGGATGGCAGAGCCAGCAGCTGGCAGGGCTGGCCTGGAACCCAGGCACACGAGGCTCCGAAGCCATGCTCTTCCCCACCTTCCCATGGCACACAAACAGATTCCTAACAGGAGCTGTCCTACTGGGAGGTCATGCAGGAGTCAGCAGGGGCAGGCAGAGAAGCATATTTCTATGTGTGCATAAGCTGAGGGTGCGGGGAAGCATATTTCTATGTGTGTAAGCTGAGGGTTCGGGGAAGCATATTTCTA